CATTAGCGTCAGGCGAAGGAACATACTGAGCGATGATGCAGAATGAGTTTTGTTATGATCAACCGGAAATTAGTGATAGATGATTTACCTTCGTGATTTTCAGTCAATGGCATTTTCCTGCGTGGGAATGTATTGGCGGAAAGTCGAATGTATCTGCCATACAGGTGTGGTGCCCGCGATGATCAGCAAGATCCAAATACGTTCACATTCATAGAGCTTTTGTCCTCTTCGACCCGATGTTGCAAGTTGAAATGTGGAGTGCGTTAAAAATTTTGAGAATGGTAAGCTTGGGGGATAATTACGGGGGAGGTTGAAGGGTGAGCTTGATTTGACAGATATACGTCAACCACGAGTTGTGTTCTAAAAATGAGTTACATCAATTTCGAGCAACGGTGTGAAAAACCATTACGGGTCATCTGAGTTGCAAACTTTACATTTGACAGCGTTCAGCATTTAGGGTTGTTTTCATTATTACGAAAATTCACATATGGTTAGTTTTTACCACGTCTGGATTAATTGGCAAATTGGTGTACATAACGAGCCATATTTTCGTAGGACGAAGGTGGAAACCTTCATTGCTTTGGTGCCCAACGACCTGCAACAGAAGGATGAAATATAGGGGTGAGCGCGACATAGAAAGTCTCTGAAACCGCTTGTTGGCCTTCCGAGCCACGGGAAGCAGGTAATTACTTGAGGACAATGCGATCAATTAATTTGCTGGTGACGGTCACACCGCAGCAGGTTGCCTAGACGATGAAAACAATTCCAGTGCTCCAAGGCAATTTGTCTCCTCTGAAGCGTTTTACTCATTTGGAAATAGTGCTTCCAAAAGTTTTCGGGACGGCTAGAGGACCAAGGACTGTAATACAAATGAACAGCTTTTATAGTTCGCCAATTTCTAATTTTGAAAGATACATAACTTTATATTCCCGAGTTACTTATAAGGTATTCCCTAGGAGCTTCATACCATATGACGCCTGACCCCCTTTTCCATTTTCATGCCAAAATATAGTATCTATGCGTCAACTTCATCGTTCCGAGTACCAGTAAATGGCTTGTGGAAGTCGTACAGCGTTGGTACTACGGGTCGACGAAAAGGGTCGCAGGAGGACCAGATGTCAAGCTTCGCCTCTCCACCACAGCGACATCCTCAGTTTACTTCTGGTTGCTCTACAACCTTGTGCCCGTTCAAAACTCGATTCTTCATGAAAGATTAAACTCTTCTGCAAATTCGATGCCGCGTGTCTACGTACGGACACCCTACAGGATGCTCCACAGCGAAGCGTGCGCTTTTGTGAGCCAGATATTTTTTGTAATTAGATTGACGCCCTTTGTCCTGGCGGCTGAGGAAGGGTGAGACGGCGATTTATTACCTTTCGCATCTCTTAAAAATCCATTTACGCGTAATGTGATTTGCCGGCGCCGTGTGCCGCGAGTGCACGGGTCATAAAGCGGCGTCATCCCTGGGTCGCTTTTTTGAAATTAATTCTCATGGAGGAATTATGTAATGGAGTGGTGGTAATGAAATTACTAGATATTTATGACAGAGCAAAACTAGGACCTGCGGTGTGGTCCAGTGATGGTGAAAACAACGAAAGGTGACAAAGAATTTTCTGTGAGACCAAAATGGAGTCAAGTAGTTTGTTTCTGCACTTCCCACGCAATGCTACCTTCAGCTCATAAAAGATTATGTTCGGAACAAGTTAGCCTCTCTGAAGAAAGAGTTAGTTAAACATGAAAAAATGGAGTCAAGTAGATTGACTTTTAACTTTCTACATCTTCGTTAGACTTTTCAAAGAAAAGGAATGGGTCATATCGCTTTAAAAGGCGAAATCAAATCGTGATTAGATAGGTGTACTTAGGTATGATGAATATTCGACCTTTGCATGTTTGTTTCCATGGTAGATGTAGGGAAAATATGTGTATCTTATTATGTCTAACCCGTGCATAGTATCATTGAGAATACCAGCTTCTTAATAACAGAAGGTTTTTCATTGACACCAAATAATCAACAATTTACAACCACTCACCGCATAAAGCTCCCAACCTAAAATTTTCATCCCCTCCCCCCTCCCCCATCCAGAATAAGCAGGAATCTCTGAAACGTTGTAACACCATATTCCAGCGATTTCATTTGCGCCGCCTCTGAAACAATTTTCAAAATCTACGACTACCTGAACGATGGAAGTATCAAACTCGCTATAATATTCGAACTTCGGTTCACAAGTTTTCTGTCTTTAAGTCTCATGAATGTCGGTTTAAATACTGAGTCAATCTAGTTGACGAAATAATCAGCGAACCATCCAAGACAGAGTAACACAAATTGAAGGTTAGACGAAATGTATGGATGGTAAATTCAGAAAAATATATGTGTAAATATAAAAACACTTAAGTCGTTATTTACAAAAGCACAGCGCTAAAGTAGTACGTACTAGGATAATATCCAAAAATTGTTAAAATATGTGTTACGGCTAAAACCCGAAATGCGGTGACAACTAGGTTGAGTTGGTTAGAACTAGGTCCAACCAACTTGATCCCGGCTACAACTAGGTGTAGTCAATCCTTAGTGGGTAAAACTAGATATAAACGTTACAAGCAGGTTTAGACAGGTATTTATAACTTAGCGATGCCTTGGCATTGTCATCATAATAAAAAAAACTTATTCTAGGAACAACATTTTTTTCATAGCTGTAACCTAAGCTTACAATTTTAACAATTTTTTTAACTGTAACTGAACTTTAGAATTTATAAATATTTCATGCAGGTGTAACCGTATAACAGTTTAAACATAATTTTTTCTCGTAACCGTAACTGAACTTTACAATTTTAGAATATTTCATGCGGGTATAATCGTATAACAGTTTAAACACAATTTTCTTGTGGTAACTATAACTGAACTTTACAATTTCAAATATTTCATGCGGGCGGAAACAATATAACAATTCAAACAGTTTTTTTGAGCTTTACAATCTTTATATATTTCGTGCGGGTATAACAATTTAATTAACACAAATTATTGGAACAATCATTAGACCAAGTAATTAATAAAAAAAGTGGATGGTTAGGATACCCAATGATATGAAAAAACTGGGACGATGGGTTATCTACTTATTTGCACAACTTAAACTTGCATAGCATTTATAGTTACACAAAATACCAGCAGCTTTACAAAGACTTGGTTTTACAGCTTTACAACTTATATTAATCATCTTCAGTATCACTATCAAAACATTTGGGAAGTCTCCACTACCACTATCAAGGTCATACATTTTGACACGGACGGTATCACCTATTTTTCAAGGAGGAAACCTTTCATTAGACGAAGCTGTCATTTTATTAGCCTGTAATACTAAAGAAACTGCCCGCATCTCTCCTGCTATTATCTATTTTCTGTTTCTTATTGCACCAAGTAACACTTTTCATCTCCTTCTGGTAACAAAGCTGGCAGACTGTTTTTTCTGTAATTTTATTTTCATGGGATTCGATTTCCGTCTTATTTACCTCGCTACTGTTATTTTTCAACTGTTCAAGAATTTTCTCCAGATCCTCCTCATTCTAGATCTTTTCGATTGCTTCGAGAGGCAGAACTGATGACCTTAAGCCAACTTTAACATCACAACCAAACATTGCTTGGTACGGCGATCTTTTAATTCCATAACTATATGCTCTAGTTTTCATTATTCCTTCAGACCATTTTTGACAATTTTCATCGGTCATCCACAGCATGAGCATTTTTCCGACACCTTGATTGGCACGTTCTACGCTACCTTGTGACTGGCTGTGGCGCGGCTCCCCATGCTCAATCTTTGGACCTGGCCACATTACTGTTAAGCTTTCCATAACTGGGTCCGTCAGAAAGAACGCATGTTTTTCGAATGGGTACTACATCGAGTGAGCTGGTCCCGTGTCGGTGAGCAAGGGCGTGTTGAATAGTGGGAGAGAGAGAGAGAGAGAAGTGCCGTTTCAGTTAGCAATATGGTTTGGAACGTTGAGCATCGTGTGTTCACTGAATGTCGGGACATTCAAAATGGCGAGTCTGTCTTACGAATGCAACGTGAGTTTCGCGTTCACTTTCGTGTTCCACGTCGTGAGACAGTACCAGACCGTAACACCATTTTGAGATGAGTGGAAGCGTTGAACACAACATGTAATGTGATGAGCAGAGCCCGAATCGTTCCGTCCGTTTGCGTGCCAGTTCCCTAGGGATCCACGCGTCGTCTGTACGTCGCATTTTGAAGAAGGACTTAGTGTTCCATAATTACAAAATAGCTCGCACTTTGATGGAACTTCTTCGGCAAAAATTTCTAAGAAGTCTCATTTCACGTCATGGCGATATTCCATGGCCCCCTCGCTCCCCAAACCTACCAACGTGTGAATTTTTTTATGGGGCTACCGGAAATCAAAAGTTTAGCAAAGCATGCGTCGGACCTTCGTCGATTTGAAGGAGAAAATAAGGAGAGAAGTAACCCAAATTGCAATGGGCTCATTTCTGGAGAGTCTTGATTCCTGCATTTCGGCCGACATAGTTCTTAAAACGTAAATTTTGTTTTACTCAAAAAAATGGCATGTATTTTGACATAAGAAAATATTTGTTCCCATACTCTTATACAGGGTTATCCAAATTAAGTGTCCACCATTAGTAACTTTGTTATTAGTGAAAATACAAAGTTGTTCTAATTAGTAAACTAGTAGCATTTTTAACGCTGGTAAAAATGAGAAATAAAAAAAAAACAATTGAGAGTCGTTATTTTGATTTTTTTCAGTAAAATAACATTTTTTTAAATGGAAACCCCTGTATATTATATTTTTTTCTGTTAAAGCATCAAATTTTAAACAAAAAAGCTTACAATAACTTTTCTCCTAGGTTACAAATTGTTGAAGTTATGGCCTCCAATCTGAAACAATTAAATTGTATCGACAAACTTTATTTTCAACATCAACTTATAATCTTACAAAATACAATAACAATTTTTTTTAAAGAAGATGCTCGAAAACACCACCTTGTTCTTCAATACATTTTTGGGCACGTTTTTCAACTGCTCGAACTGTCTTAAGTATGGTCCTACCATCTATCTGGGTTATCTTTTCCCTAACTGCAGTCTTTAACGCGTCAAGGTTATCGTACCTTCGCTTGTAAATTTGGTTCTTTAAGTAACCCCACAAGAAGTAATCAAGTGGGTTTAGATCTGGTGATCTGGGAGGCCACTGTATTGGGCCATTTGTTCCTATCCACTGATCATTAAAAGTAGTACTTAGAAAATGATAAGTACCTCTGGAGTTGTGGGCAGGTGCGCCATCTTGCTGAAAATGCAGATGATGTCTACTTATAAGATCCAATTCGTCTAAGAAATTAGTCAGAATTTCTGACATAAATTCCACATATCTTTCACCAGTTAGGGTTCCCTCATAAAAGAACGGGCCAACAATTTTTGAACCAATTATACCGCACCAAACGTTGAAACTGAAACGGACTTGTGGGCCTCTTGGATGTACTAACAAAAGATTTTCTCTTGACCAATAATGGTGGTTTTTTCTATTAAACATTCCAGAATTTGAAAAATTTGATTCATCTGTCCATAAAAGGTAACGAAAGTTATTTACATTTTGGCGACAGAAGCTAAGATACCAATGGCAAAAAACAAGTCTTCTCTCTGGATCCCCTGCCAAAAGCGTTTGAACTGGTCGGTACTTATACGGAATAAATTTGTATTTTTTTAAAATCCTTTGAACAGTACCATAACTGAAATTAGAGTCCTTGAGAATATCTGCTATTGAATTCTCACGATAAGCTTCAAAATATCCAATAACTGCAATTTCCGTGGCCTCGCTTATTATGAATTCTTTTTTTGCCCTTGTTTTAGCAAAAACATTTTCGTTGCCCCTAAATTTTCGATAAAGTCTCAGAAAATATCGTTCATACGGTTGAATGCGAGCGGGATATAATTCACTGTAGTATTCTCTTGCTCTCAAGGAGGATTTTCTGCACACTAAATAGCATTCTAACATATCACACTTTTCTTCATGGGAGAACATTTTTCTTTAAATTAATGACACAATAAAGCTTATAAACAAGTATTTACACTAATGTTTGACATTATTTGATTTTATCATTGTTTTCCAAAGCCTTCTAGTTGCGAGTATGTCCAGTTTAACAATTTGTCGCTTATCTTAATGCTGTCAAATCGCGAACGCCATGTTGTTTTCATAGCCGTCTTAATATTATAATACTGCAAATAATTAAAAATATTTATCGTTATTTTGACTTTAGCGGAAAAGTCATTATGAACTTTTTTGTTTAAAATTTGATGCTTTAACAGAAAAAAATATAATATACAGGGGTTTCCATTTAAAAAAATGTTATTTTACTGAAAAAAATCAAAATAACGACTCTCAATTGTTTTTTTTTATTTCTCATTTTTACCAGCGTTAAAAATGCTACTAGTTTGCTAATTCAAACAACTTTGTATTTTCACTAATAACAAAGTTACTAATGGTGGACACTTAATTTGGATAACCCTGTATACATATGTTTAAAAAAAACACGCGGTAATTGCTGACAGACCCTGTACCTAGATGGTGATCCGAATATGCAAAATATGTCCAGCACTACCTTTGCTGCTTCATCAGCAGCCTAACTTTGTAAAGTGAGTAGCTGTGCCAACCTGCTCAGGTGATCCTGGTAAACTAATATGAATTTAAAATTGCCGTCTGAGTTTGTTTGCATGTCTATCAAATCTATCTTGCAAGGACTATTTAGCTCATTAGATAAAATGGGTTTCACGACAAGACCTTTTTTGCTTGAATTTTGTTTCATTTGACATGACTTACAAAAATGAAGATAAATAAGAGCAGCAGTGATGCTTGCGTACTTAGCTTCTACAATCATCCTATTTCCCCTGCCGTGTCATCGAACAGGTATTCATTCTTGACGTAGTATTTGAGGCCCTCGGTATTTTCGTCATTGGATAAAGGAGCAATTAACGTCTCGATGTCACCAATATACATCGAAACGCTTCAAACGGCTATACTGTGAAATCGAACGCTTTTTTGCTGCTTTCACGTCTTCGATATTCTTCAAATCGCGTTGTTTCCAAGTCGGTATGAGCTCAAGCTCTCCGTAAAAACTTGATTTCATAGATTCTGATTCTTCGAACATTGCCATTCATATACTTCAAATATATGTACACGTACATACAAATACATCTTTCTAACATGGTGTTATGATTGATACCAAGCAGAGCGCCCGCCGCCCACAGCGAATGAACGTGAGTTGACGGGCCGAGCAGTACTTCTGAAGTTATAGGCGGTTATAAAATCAGCGAACAGGCAGAGCTTCTCGTGATGTACATGTCATATAACATCCAAAAAACATAATATCTCAATTTCGAAACTTCTTGCGATTACAATACTTCCTCGCCAGTTTTGGCATATGAAGTAAAACTTGAAATGGATCAAGTTAGTCAAACAGGCCCTAGTCTCTACCTATTTGACAACGTTGCGGTCCGGCAACTTCTTCTCTACCCATCACCGCCAGTATGGTGACCACCTGGCCACGTTGTTATGACTAACGCTGCCTGTTAGCCCCAGGAATTTAAAATAAACGAAGTTTGAGCCATATTTATTTTTTCGGTCTGTAGCTCTGCCATCATTACATCGATTTTCAAAAACCACAAAGCTTTTTCGTCCTTGGCATAATAGTATCCGTATATGAAAATTCAATCGAAATCCAGACAGTACTTTCCAAGTTTTCCAAGTGGAATGGTCAAGGATTAGCGGACAGACAGACAGAGAAACCGATAGAAATTAGTGACAGTTTTTTTACATGTTATGTAACAACCAAAAATCCTAATTCTCATTTTTGCAAATTCTCGCGATTATAATAATTCTTTCTCGCCACTGGCGGTGGATAATGAAATTAGGCATATAATACTCATTTACTCTTCTACACAAATAGGTTCTAAGCGATGCCCAACTTCTTGTTTTACTCAGTATTCTGCTGGTTGTTCAATACCTTACGACCTACAGGAAACAGAGCAACCCATCTAACTACAAAGACAACCCCTAGCGTCTCATCATACAGATAAGTTTTCGTAGAGCATAGAAATAGAGGAAGGGAGGGCATCAAGAAGTCCGTTTCCACCCCCCGAAAACAACCCTTCAAATCTGTTATTATCGTCCGGAAGTTCGTACAAACACAGACTGAGAGAGGACAGGGAGTCATAGGAAGCAGTCGGAACATGGTTGGGCAAGTCAGCTCAAAGATCACGGAGAAGTTGCGGTGTGTCCGGTCCAAGATGCCACCAGCACAACCCAAGATAAATAAAGATATCCATCCTCAGACGCTAATGGCCTCGGAACTAGTGGCAAGCTGTGCAGTCCGGAGATACTACGTGACGAACTCGGGCTCTAACGAGGCGACGGGGTGGTGCAGATAACACGCAACGACATGCGGTTATGGCCACGGGAAAAATCTTAATTTCGGCGGCGGGACTAACGAAATGATACAGTATACACTCATCTGACATACCTACTATCGAACATCGCGTATCGGTAGCACGGCAACGCTATGTACGTATGATACCTTATATCCATCTTTTCTACGCTTGCCCCAAAAAGGTGGTATTGGAAATGTATCGTCATGTGCTCACATAGGAAAGGGACTATAACTAGCTTCCGATAGCAAAAATTGCTCGGAAGTGTCGATAGGGTGGGGGAAAAATTTCTTGATCGCAGCGTTGTAAATTAAGTTGTCTCTGGCTATTTTACTGACCTGATCTGTTATTTTTTATACATATTCATAGCCAACCTTTTTCTCAGACGAGCTTAATTACTAACTTTGTGAACTGATAACTGCGTTGCGTGGAAAGCGCAAATCCTTGCCGCCACTTTTAGCATGCTCAAAGTTCATTATTATTGAAGTCCAAAAAATCTTTAAAAAACGATTAAGACGCAAGACAAAGTTGCAGCAGATATGGGATGATGCAACACAGTGACGGTATTTCTGCAGCGCATAACGTGTGGTGCAAAATTTGCCGCAACATGTGCCAGATCTTGCGCCCCAATTTGCGACATGTGGTTTAGTAATTTTGTACAGATAAAATATTGCGATATCGAAGATCTGCTGCAAGCATTGCACGGTATTCATGCAACACGTTTTGAAAACCAGCATCAACATGTTGCGACACACATGTTTCGGGCTAAATACATTTCCAACCTAACAAAATTTAGATACATGTGCCTGCTACTTGTTGGATTTGAATTCTACCTTAAAGAAGCATTTTAGTATCCATGTTTGACCTTTCCGGAGAGTTCTGTTCTCCATTTTTGGACACGCATTCTACCCTAGAGGCATTGCCACTGTTTTTGAATCATGGTAGGTGAATGTGGCAAGAAAATAACGATTAGGAATCTCTGTAATGATGAGGTTTGCGGATTTAGAGCTAACCAACGAATTCGCATAGATTATAAGAAGCCAAGCTTATATGGGCTGAACTATACTCTAGTGCATATCGCAAATATTACATTTCTTATTTTAAAATGAAAGATGAAAGTTGCATTTTGTGTGGTAATACTGTGGTACAGAATACTGCTTTATAAGCTGTTTTTCCTTGTTTGGCCTCGGTTGGCCACGTGGGTCAGAGTGTCGTGCTACTGATCAGCCGGCCGGCCGGGTCGCGAGTTCGAATCTCGCCTTCGCCATGGATGTTGTGACGTCGTGTGTTTGTCCATAATTAGAAATGTAAATATAACAACCTAGTTTCTGGCTGCATGGCCTGGCCCTAAAGCAAAGAAAAATGATGAAAATAGTTCATTGTTTAGTAATGTCTTTTATTTCAGATAAATATTTCCATCACTACACCACCATCCACCACCATCACTATCCTACTCTTTCCATCCAGTTGCTATGTTGCCAAATCATAGGTAGTTATATATCCTAATTTGGTTTCTCAAATTCTTACTTATACACTAGCGCAAAAATGTGAAATCATCTTAGGATTGTTTTGAAAATGCGATTTGGTGGTATGGCCGGCAGGTTTTACTGTACTAAATCCACCTCGTGCCCTACGATAGCGTTAGCTAAAGACACTTTCTTGAAGAATGCCTTATATCCTTCCAAAAGTACTTCGGTTATTGTTTTTTCTATATTATAGTTATAATCTATTTACTTTTTCTATGTATGTATGTATGTACTTGAAGAATTATTTAAAGTGAAGCTGATGTCACAAAATATACCTAATTAAACGTAATTAATACTCGTATATATAAGAAATAACTGAAAAAGTAGCTATTGCCAACTACTAAATAATGAAAACATAACAAAGAACATTGCAAGTTTTTTGGTGATTTGATCAAATGATCTTTGATCTTTGCTTAACTATAATGTTGGACGATGATAAGTTGGGTGGACCTAGCGAGGTGGTCCAAATCGACGAGTTGTAGTTGGGTTCTTTATAGGCAATGACCGCTGGTGCCTTTTGTATTTTCTATGTCACGCGAGCCGCTGGTGCATTTTCCACTGTTTAGGCACATACTGTTCAAAATTTCATCTAGTTTTCGGTAAATATTGGGTCAACTTCTCATAAAACAAGCCATTTACAATAAATTAAGACTTTTATTTTCCAAATAACCTGATTTTTTATCTCGCATTTCTCCCAAGAAAAGGTACAACTTGGCAACAATGGACATCACTTATCTTATCTTTCAACATCAAGTCATCGATGGTTGTCAGAGCGGTCCGTGGGACCTTAGCTCTTGAGTCACAGTGTCAGTTTGTAAGTCTGTCAGGTCTGGTAACCCAGAAACCAGACAATTTGAAGGAAAATCTTTCAAAAATGAACGTTATAAAATGGCCAATGAGAATTGTTTGTACTTTCAAATACTTCTTATAAACGCAAAAACTTTGATCTCATTGGAAATTCGCGAAAAAAATGGTTAAGGAATTTCAAGAAGACTGAAAAATCACAACACAACACCTTTACACAGTTTGCCAAGTAAATACCATCATTTATGTATGTATTTTGAACTGTTATTTTAGCTAATAAGCTAATGTGTAATAACACGGCTGATTTTGAACGTTATTTGCAAAAAACAACGATTTTTCACAGTTTCACATGTACTCGTATTTTCCTTAGTACTATGCAGTGAATCTTACATTCTTATAATTTCGAGCATCATTTTCTGCAAAAGGCAAAAAAAAGCGTATCAAAATAGTATTCCATTCTAGAGTATTACCACCAAAAGTGCAACTTTGAAATTCTATAAAATAGCAAGCAGCGGGTTCCTTGAAGAAAAAATGATATTTTCGCAAGCTACATCCTAATCTTTCATTTTAAAGTAAGAAATGAAATATTTGCGATATGCACTAAAGTACAGTCTTACCTTTATATATTTACATTGCAATGCTTGTCGCCAAAATTGCATAGTTTGGTGCATAATTTTGACTCATTTGCCTATCAATACCTACCACCATAATAAAAATATTTACCTGTAGGCTTGTGCTGCTCTTTGCAAACTATGTAAGAAGTAGCACGTCTTGGTATCGTTTAACACCACAATTATTTACACACTTTGAAAAAATTACACGATAACTATCAAGTTAATGACAGAACTGTCAAAAAATTGACCTATGTCAAATGTCCTCCCTGCGGACTATCAGAATAAGGAGACAAACGAATCCTTGACTAGTTGCTTTTAAATACTCTAATTTGGTTGGACCAGCAACTTGTAGGAAAGGAACGCCAACCTATTTTGAAATTATGTTTCCGATGACATCAAGGTAAACAATTTTTAGACTTCCTATCTTCCACTCTTTCTGAGGCTTTATTGATGAGCTATGACAATGAAGCTGTGTTTTTGTTAATTGTAGAATATAGCTGACATTGACATTCATTCAAAGTAAACACCTGGAAACGTCATGCATAAACCTATATTTCATACACTTGCTCCTCTCCCGTTATGGGTAGCGGCAGCAACGTCATAAAATACCGGTCTAACCTTGTTTATGGAGTAAAAACTCCCTGTTCTTTTATCCTCGTTTCGTAGCCGATTGAACATAAACGTAATAGAGTGTTAGAAAATTGATAGCCGGAGTAAAGGTGAAAAGCGATCCTGATTCCGTGCTAAACTACCGAACGAGATTGGTTTCGTGCCCCGGCTGTCGGATACGCTGTAAATTCTTCGCTGGTGCGGTGCTGAGGAAAACAGGCGTACCTGGGAGGAGATGAAGGATCTGAATGTATGTTTTATATAAAAAAATCGTACTTGCACTTGTTTCTTCCTACCGGAATACACCACGGTTTCTGCGAGGAGCTTAAATAAGCTTTGTTAATTCGATGTTTGAACTCAGATAGATTGTTCCACAATATTAATGCCCTATGGATAAAGGAGCGGTCGTATCGGCCTGTTCTGGATGTACGAAGTTCGACACGGTCATGATGACAGGCCAAAGTCAGGTGGGTCACCTGACTTATAACAGAAAGCAAAGCTATAAGGCTTGTAGTGGTAAGGATAGGTCTTAGATAAATTTACAGTTTTCTGAGACACTTTACTGCGAAGCAAAAGTTCCAATAGCGTTTTTGAAGGCCTGTATCACCAAAATAAAGTAGTATTCGGAAAATTTCCAATTTATAAACGGTTTGTTCGAACAGTGGTCGGTGACTTGTCGGTGACAGTGTCTAGGATCCGGCCGTGTAACTTCTGTTTACATAGCGTAGTAGAATGAATGGAATTTGTGTGGCAGGATCATGAACACGATCACTGGCAGGTTGGCAACAGTTGCACGAACAGGGCTAAAGTAATCAGAAAAGTCCATGCAATCATCCCTTGAACATTGTCCCCTGTTGGATCTTTGCCCAATGTTTCAGTATCGTTACTGGCATGCACGGATCATAAAATTATAAATTTTAATTTTGTGGTTGCTTGACGCTTTCACCCGACTTCTTTCATGGTCGAAGTTCCGTAGCGCCACTGATTCCGGTGAATGTAACCGCACGTAGCGATATCTGCGAAGAATCCGAGAAGAGTAGCCGTGGCAGGTCCCGGACTCCCGGATTTATCTACACACGCGTGCCCCTGCATAATCAACTCCGGGAGGAACGCCACGTTGCATTCGGACAATAGGTTTACCAGACAACCCTCACATTTTCTTTTGTTTCTACTGCCACCAATATTATCTGTCTCTTAGTTACGACTTCTGGAAGGTGACTGTTGAACCTTGCATTTGCCAGAAGCACCTGAACAACACTTCATCACAGATATGCATAGGGCATAGCAAATTTTGCAAGGTCATAGAAATTCGCTCAAAAATACAGTATAATTTTTATTTGGCTACGTATCAGCATTGATTAATGTTACGAGAGATGTCTTTAGTAAACTTGAATTCAAAGTTTTGACAAAAATACGTGCAGTGTTCTCAATACAGTGAATTTTTAAGTGTCAACAATTCATTAAAAAAATTGAACTCAACCGAGAACATTTTCGCGCCATAATTTATTACAACTTTCAGAGACAATTATCGCAACAAGAATGCCTTGCTGAGTTACTGTCTGTTTTCGGCAACGAAGCACCACATCAGTCCCGTTGGTATAGAGAATTCAAACGTGGACGGGTGAGACGATCCCAGGGTGAGTGCACCAAAAATGGCAGTCACCCAGGACCCCGAAAGAAGAATCATCCTCCACCAAGATAATGCAAGCTCGCACACAGCCCAAAAAACAAGGCAGTATTTAACGGAAGAAAAGTGGAATTATTGCACCATCATCCATATAGTCCCGACCTAAGTCCTAACCATTTCTTTACTTTCCCGAAAATTAAAAACAGACTGCGTGGTCAAAGGTTCCAGTCACCAGAAGAAGCAGTTGACGCATTTAAAAATGCCGTTTTGGATCTGCCAGCAAACGAGTGGAATAAGTGCTTCGAAAATTGGTTCGAGCGCATGCAGTTGTGTATTACTCTTCGTGGTGAATACTTCGAAAAACAATAAAATCATTTAAAACTACCTACCGTGTTGTTTTATTTCCATACGCAAAACTTAAAAGACAACGCCGTATTCTACCTGGAGCCAAGACTGAAACATTTTTTCAAAAGTAGATTTCTATATATACTTGCACGGTCTGATACCGTCTCATAGATGGCGCTAGTATCTTTCAGATCACTTGACGGGCGCTGGAATGCAGCATGTGATTGGCTGTCTTTAGGTATAATACGTGGAACTGATTGTTTATTCTATCAAATAATATGACAGATTTGTTGAATTAGGACGAAAATGAGTCAATATTTTTCATACTTGTTTCAGTTGATGCGAGCTCACCAATGAGCATGCTGGGCAACATAGCTGCTCCATCAACAAATGCTACGGTAGCCCCAGATGATAACCACAACGAAGTTACTACAGAAAGTTCAAAAGAGGGCGCTGAGAACGTTTCAATTGGAACTGAGTCGGAAAATGTCGAAGAATCTACAGTGGTCAAACAAGAAGAATCATCTGATGATGGTGCAGGTGAAGAAGATGATGCTGGACAGCCGTCTTATCCAAAAGGTAGGGCATCATGATATTCTTACATTTGTATACACTATATTGTGGATTCGGATATTTTTGGGGATTTTGTGAGAAAATATCAATTTTCCAAGACAGGTTCATCATTAGTTACTGAAGATGACTTAAAATTGATGCAGGTTATATAATGCTCATTTAAGTATGTCTATATATGTGTGTGTCTATGCCCCCTATTTCTTTAACCTGCTATAACTAGTACATCTCGAAAGTTCTTAGGATTTTAGGAACAGCTTACTACTTTGCCAAGAACAACACAACTTTGTGGACTTTGAAAATTGATACAGTGACAGTGGAGCTACTACCAAAAAAAGAAAAGCTTTAAAATCGCTGAAACTTCATTTTCGACGTTCGGCGACTCCTGTTCCTTGAAGGGGTCAAACATTTGGGGTTCTGGGTGTGCGGGATTATATTCCGTTATTAAAAAACTTTTTGAAAGGGTAATATGATCTATTTTCACTAGTTTGAGATGCAGGGGTTTATGTGCACATCCTACAGTGTTCCGATTATACTTGAGTCTTTTGAGCATACTTGACCCACTTTCTCTGTTGCACGTGTGCGTGGTTTACTTTTACAGAGTAACCGGACTTAAGGCTTTTTTTTAGTTTGAGCAGATAACATCCTACCATTTATGTTGGGTAAGGTTCGTGTAGAGGATGATTCAGAAAAACGTGGGAATATTTCTAAAGTTGAAAGTGGTGTCCGACCGAAACTAGTATTTCAACTGACACCGAAACCGAAACTTCCAATTGAGAAGTATGATATGGGAGGTTGGGGAGGTAAAATAGTAGTGTATCTCTAAGAAAAAACAATCTCAGTCTTCACCAATTAGTATTAGTATAATATGGAATAATCAATGTTTATCAAATATTATCAAGATGTCTTCTTGTTTCTAACATTTTGTAAAAAACAGACAACAAGACAAAAATAATAACATATGGCCTGTTACTTTAGATGAAGACTTACTTTAATTTGAAGATTTGTAGTGCAAAAGTCCTCAAGCCCCGTTCAAACTGTGCTTAACTTAAACGATTAATTTTTATTGGTCATGATATTTTAAACGATGATTTGGGTATCCTTAAACTAATAATTGTGGTTTTCAATAAGAGTTATTCAAAGACCAAAAAACAAGAACTATTTTCAAGAGATTAGTAACCATGGCATTTTTTAGGAAATTTAGTTTGTACAGTTTTGAATATCTTACTCGAAATTACGTCTGACTTGGAATTCCTCAAAAACTTGTGAGTTATCTACCATCTTGAATTACAAAAGTAATATTTAATGTTTGTACAAAAGGCCTTTAGAGCGTAATCTAATAATCATAATTGAACACTCTGATATTATATGACGTGAATAATAATTTATCGGCAGTTTCCCCTAGCAAATTTGACTTTTGATCTGAATAAATTTGCCCGAAGGTGGGCGAAAACGTACGGACGTACTTTCTGTTTCGGTTGCAGAAACTTTGATTTTGGACCGAAACTGGCCGACACCGGAACCGAAAGTTCATCCGGATACTATAATTACCAAAATACAGGATGTTACCTATAAATTTTTACGTCACTAACGAAGCTGAATATGGACAAACCATGCGTATTGCTCAAACAACAGATTTTACCTCTAAAATTCAAACCAATTTTTCTTCAAAAAATAGTAGCCTGACACAAATTTCGATTCATTCATAGAAATACCTTATTCAAAAATGCAGTTTTTTTGTTTATGTATATAATGCTTTATTTTGAAATTAAAATTTCAACAGCCTGTTTCGGTTAGAGGACATTTTAGGAGCCATCTTGGGACCCACATGTATTAGAATGTTTTGTGTTATATTAGGAAATACTTTCTGTCCCAAAAATATTACTAAAATTTTCTAAGTAACCTATAGATAACCAGAGCCACCACCATTAGAACTGTGTGCTGTTTCAATGCCCTTAGAAGATTCTAAAATTTGTTGGCAATTGCAACATTGTCGTCCTAATAAAGTTTCCCGAATCGTACGCGATGACATCAATAAAACAGTAGAAATAGCGACATGCCCCACCCCACCCCGATCTATTAGGAAACATGCATATTCTTTATGTCGGCCATTATAGGCAACAACCAGCAATCTCGTGTGCGCTCATCCCGAAACATATTCCTACATACCAGAAGTTAATTCCGCAGCATTAGCAAAGCAAATCCTCGAACCAAGATTCTTTATGTGTCGCGATGCGATATTTTTTCCTCGGCTTCTTCGTTACTGCCAAGTCGAGAGCGGCTATGAAACATAAGGTTATAGTCTGTGTAGCTACAGCTGGATTTAAACCAAATACATAACCGTTTGTCAGGGCTAATGTTCACAGACTCGACCCTTTGGTCGTCATGCATACGAGACATATAATGTGAGTATTAGACCGAGGGACAAACAAGGAATGTCAGCAACCTATTTTCAGGACGAAAACTACAGCTGACTTACGTAAAGCGTGCTACTGTACCCATATCCATTAAGGTCGGTCGACCTTCTTATCCGCTTTTTTTCAACTACCTGTTTACAGCAGTATTTTAAATCCTAATCATGGCATCAATTTTTTTTTGCCAATAAAAGCATTTTTTATGCATTCTATTGTGCATTTTTTCTTCAATTATCCGTTTCATTCTTGCGTAAAAGTGGAGTATTCACATACAATTTTAGAGCTGTACTATTATCTGTTAACAAGTTACTTCTGAAGAAAAATGCACAAAAAGGCATTTTTCAACAAAAATAAACAGATAATATTGTTTTTCAGTCATCTCTATACGCACCGTGAAATTATCAGACGAAAACTATTAATCTCCTCTAGACAGGCTGTGGAAAAAGGGGCATGACACGTTAAGCCAATCGGTTTAGGAGTCCCACAAGGAAGTGTTTTAGGAGCCACTCTCTACCTTCTTTATACTGCAGATCTATCAACTGCAGATGACGTATGCATAGCAATATTTGCAGATGATACAGTTTCCTTGGCATTTCATGAAAATCCAGTCAAAGCATCACAAAATCTGCAGAGAAACTTGCTCCAAATTGGAGACTGGCTAAATCGTTGATGAAACACGTGTCACATTCACCTCATGTAGAAAAACCTTTGAACTGAGGGGTTGCCGAAGTGGGGGGTTTTTCTAGACAAAACACCTTATATCTCAGTAACTAATTACCAAGACCCCATAGTATGTTATATCGGTTTTCTTCTTTTGAACTGGTTTATCCAAATATGCAATAAAATTTAAGGCATTCCATTTGAAAAATCACAACTTTGATACGTAGGTCGAAGTTGGGACACGCTGTATAATAGCCAATATTTTAGCAATGTGCCCACAGATGTCATGTATAATACTCCATAAATAGATTTTCCCAAGATGTATTTGTTTATGAGTAATATTCCGTCTACACATGGATGGGCCACCCTGTATATCTATAATTTACAAATTCAACAATTTAGTCATGCGAGGCATCTAGGAATCCCTCAAACTCAAATAAATGTATTGAATTGAACTGCCATTGGACAACAAGCTATTACTGTATGCTTGAAAGATATTTGGATGTATGGCATCCAGTTATGGGGCGCAGCGATCAACAGCAATATTGCCAACCAGCGGTGCCATAACAAAGGAAATGATCCAAAAGTTCAGTTTTTGATACAGTCCAAGGGTTAAAACATCCTAATGTGTTATCAAATCGATTATATGTGTCTAATAATGAGCCAGTGAATAGGTTGAAACGTCATTTGCCATCCGACTGGGTGACAGGACCACGAGAATATTAAGTGATAACATAAACAATCAATTTAGTATTATATAGAAATCACGCACTGGAATGATACCCTGCATGCCCTTTTTTGTTGTTACTTTAGATTAGTGCTTAGTGCTTATTTCCCATACGGGTTTTCTCTTAGGCATTATAGAAAAATCCTCTTTTAGATAATTCTACGAATGGATTTTCTCTTTCAAAACTAACATATACTCGTACATGAGATGTACGTCACTAAAAACCGCTGTTACTCATTTCCGTCGGTCCGTCTGCGAGTTCGCTAATCATAGACTCGCCTATAACTTGGAAAGTACCGCTCGGATTTTGATGAAATTTTTAAACAAGGTTATCATCATGCCGGGAACGAAAAAGCGGCGCTGTTAGGGTCACGGAAAAGTAGAACTCACTTCGTTTCAGAGGAACTTGCTCTTTTTGGAAAATTTTTTGAGGGTATAATATAGAGGGGTGAGAGTTTTGAAATTCCGTGGGGGTATATCTAAATGTTTGGCGGTACGTTTCCCCGTATATTTGCCCTGTATGACTCTTAGAACAAGGAGGTTTGGTCTGGGTCCCATAGACCGTAAACGCAGAGGGGGATTAGACGTTGGCAAGAAAAAGAAATTCAGAATGACTTGAGCCTCTAAAATGGAAGATGGGAGTAGTAAAATGTTCTCAGAGGGAGCCACAACATAACGCAAAGCTCTACTAATATGCAAATTTTAAGGAGGCAGTGAGATTCTCAGGAACAGGATGCATGGCTTTAAGCTAGAGACTAACTGTATGGGCCTATTTTACCAGCTTAATTCGATAAATTCCTTTGTTGTACATGTTGGGTGCAGAGAAGCCCTCAGGGAATTCTGTAGTTGTCGGCGATTCTCACAGTCAAATCTTACGTCTAAACCGATACCTTGAAAGGCGATCTTATTCATTGTTGCATCTCCAAAGCTCTTAAGGTCCATCTTCATGCTCCTGGCTCTCTTGAATAGTTAAATTGTTTAGGCCCACCTCAGTAAATCCATGGTTCAAATGCATTTTATGTCGAAGTCCACTAATACAAAAAGACGTTAAACCAAAATTCCATTGCAATCGCAAAAAAATAAAATTTTCCTGATATATGTACAACCCTACCATATCACACTTTATAGTAAAAATTGTCATATTATTTCAGTATTTTTTTATTCTATTTTATCGACAAAAGTTGATTCCGGATATTCTGAATTGAGTCGAAAAGTCTCGGGAAACCACTTTTTATGCACTGTCCTAAATAATAGACCCGACGGCAATACTCGACACGATGTACGCAGAGCGACTAAATGTCTAAATTTGCTTCCAGCTCCTTGCCTATTTCATGTCGGTCCGGTGCATTATATGCCGCCATGGTCTCGGTTGGCCTAGACGAATGGTTTCGCGCGACACACTAATTCAACAAAAGACCATACCACGCCTACTTTCTAGATTTTATTGACATTACGGAAAATTGCATTCGCTATCTCTCTGAATATACGCCGCTAAACAGACGGCTCGATAACCTTACGCAAATTGTCTAGATTTATGTAGACTTCCGGTTGGGAATCTAGATTCAAAAATACCGATTGAAATATTTAAGAGCTACAAAGATTAATACAAAGATACCGGTGGATAATCTTTGTCCCAGTTTTGTTTTAGTTTTACTACGAGAATCCACTTGACAACAATTCAATTTAAATGCGCATACATACTTGTAACACCTGAAGATGAATTCTGTGATAACCGTCTTAAGGTCTTTTCCAAGATTGTTGCATTTTCCACTATATACGCGAAGTGATATCAGCTTGAGAAAACTCTTCCTCGTGTTTCCCCCTATAGCACCACAGTACCCCATGGGTGTTTAGGCCTTAGACCTTCGTGGTAGTCAGAGTATAAAAAAATTCAGGATTAATGCAATAATTGCAAGTTCGTCCTCTAAAAATTTTGCCATCTCAACCTCACGAGAACACAACTGCACTGTCAGCGCACGGAGAAAAATACTGACCGGTGTGAACTG